ACGCTGCAGACTCTGACCCAGAATTGCACAGGGCACAGTTTCTCTCTGGGTAAGTGCAACTTGTGTCTCTTCTTCTGTTAATTTAAGGTTGCAGGCTGACTCTTGTGTTGCAAATCTGCCTGGTAATGAGGACGGTGGCTGTTTTCATTCACCTTGCTGTGAGCTTATGGAAATGCCTTGTTTCTACCAGCAGGCTACACTTTCTCCCAAAAACTAATTTCTATAGATTACTGCAAAACATGTACTTTCCAAGGCTGAGGGGAGATGAGACAAGCCATGTTACTGAATTGGCCTTGGGACTTCTGTCAAGTTTGAATGGTGAGATTTCATTTTTTGCCCCTCACCAGATACCAGCTTTGGAGACAGATATGGCACCAGTTGGCATCAGGCATTAAATTTCCAATTATGTATCAAAATGAGTGCATTTCTGCTAGTACCAAATAGCCTCTGATTGAATCGTTGCTTGAGATTGAGGGTAAGTTTGAAGTTAAGTGAGCTGCACATTTTTCAGCACATACTAGACACATGGGGCAGATCCTCAGCCTTACGTGAGTCATTTTGTCTCCCATGGCTTCAGCAGAACTGTGTTTGTGCCGGCTGAGAGCCTGTGACCATAGCTTGGCTGATGTATCCTTATATGCTTGTGTCTTCTGGTTTTGTTATGGCATATAAATCAGAGCCAGCCAGGGTGCTTGGATAGCAGTGCTGACTTGTGCTCCATTGCAAGCAAAACTAAGAAAGTTGCATGGCTTTTCCCTGCAACCCTGATATAAAAGGAGTGTGATGACAAGTTTATCACTTAATTGACGTTTGTGAAGTTTCCACTTGGCTAATGTCCCATGCATCCATGCCCTCAATATAAAGGGCATAACATTGGTAAGCAGCTGCACGCTCATTTGTGAGCGTGGTCCACCTTTGTATATTCAGTCCAATTACAGCAGGGGTTTTGCAAGTGAAACCCTTGATGTATTAGTGTGAATCCTGGGAGCGTGTGGATCAGTGTTTGTGCAGGTTACTGTTTGCACCTGCCCACCCCACATCTGTTGAGACTGGCTGGGAAAGTCCAATTTATCTTCATGTAATTTGTGTCTGATACTGACTTGCCAGGTCACAACATCTTGGCACAAGAACAGATATTGGAAATAAAATCTCTGACTCCACTGTCATACTTTAACTTTACTTCCTCCTGTCTCTTAAAGCATATTGGTCCCATGATAACATGAGGAGGGCTGCTGCTTTTTTTTAAGGTACCAGAGTGGCATCTCTCTAAATACACATCTCTATTGGGGTACATTGCTATTTTCCCTTCTTATTTTCTTTAACATCAATGTTTCACAAGCTTTCAGCCTGCAGGACATGATACGTAGGTAGAGCATTTCATTCAGCTTTCCATTAGGCACAAGAACAAGTCCTGTGAGGAGCGGCTGAAGGAACTGGGGTTGTTTAGCCTGGAGAAAAGAAGGCTGAGGGCAGACCTCACTCTCTACAGCTACCTGAAAAGAGGTTGTAGCGAGGTGGGTGTCGGTCTCTTCTTCCAAGCAACAAGCGATAGGATGAGAGGAAATGGCCTCAAGTTGCGCAGGGGAGGTTTAGATTGGACATGAGGAAAAATCTCTTCACCGAAAGGGTTATCAAGCATTGGACCAGGCTGCCCAGGGAAGTGGTTGAGTCACCATCCCTGGAGGCGTTTAAAAGACGTGTAGACATGGCGCTTAGGGACATGGTTTAGTGGTGAACTTCACACTGCTAGGTTAACGGTTGAACTTGATGATCTTAAAGGTCTCTTCCAACCTAAACGATTCTGTGATTCTAAGACAAGCTGAACTGTCCCTCCTGGGTTTCCCAGCACAGCCCTGCTTGCCTTTGCCAGATTTTGCTGATCTTATTGCAGCGCCTTGTGAGGATTCATACAGCGAAAGTCTCTTGCATAGAGCTGCCAGCTTTCCCCGCGCCCGGCTGTTCCCCCAGCCACTGGCAGCTGCCTTCCCCTCCTCTCTCAGTTCTGCCTTCCCATTGCTTTTGCAAAAACCTCACCTGCCAGGTGTGCAAGCATCTGGTGTGTAAGCCAGAAAAGAGAGCCGCAAAAGTGCCTTTTGGGTGCCAGAGGCGGTTTCACTCTTGGCATGTCTTTGGGAATGGCTGGTAGGGCTGGTACAGCCTGGCACGTGCCACCTGCCTTCTCTGCTACACTAATGGCTCTTTAGCTGTTATCGTAAGGGGCTGTGATGGCACCAATGCCTGCAATGCTCTTCATTTAGACCTGCATTATTCCCCATAGATTGTAGGTAAAATGAGGTCTTCTCTGCTGAAGAAGTCGCTTTTGGATGGAAGGGCCTCCCTTTCCTCCCAAATACCAATCCCTATTGGCAAAGCAGCATGTGGCAGGGTAGAGCTTTGCCAAGTGCCTGTTTCCCCTGAGCGTCCAATCTTCCATGCGTCCCCTCTGCTGTGATTGAATGACAGGGTGGCTGGGGCCCTTCAACAAGTACGTAAATGTTGTGGTGGGTTGTGGGGTGCAAATAAGGCTGGAAATGGGAGACTGAAGGCAAAAGGTGGATTTCAGCTCTGGGGACAAATTACTCTGTGTGCAGATCCCTCACTGCTATTACCTAGAGGCTCAGCCTGCCCTTGGTGCTGACAGGGAAAGAACTGACAGTTCTCCCTGGAGCATTTTATTTCGGGTCTGTACCCACCTCAGAGAGACTGGAGAGAGGCCCCAGTCTTGCCACACAGTTTGTGGGGCAGATGTCAGTCTGTGGCACTTGTCTGCAGCAACAAGCCTTGCACGGAGGTGCTGCTTTCTGCTTACCCAGCCCCTCCATGGTAATGCTTAGAGCAACATAAAACCTAACGCTACTTTTTCCTGGGTAACAGAAATCTGCATTCTCTTTCACAGAAGAGTGTGATATAAATAATGACAGGTCTCCTGAGAACGTGTGCTCGTAGCCTGGAAACCATCCCCAGGATGAGTTGTGGAGACTTTTCCATAAGCAGGAGAAATTTTTTATCTGGATTTTAGTGTGACAAGCCAAATAACTGCCCCTTCCCATCTTGAGAGGAATTGCCTGGGACAGCCATTGACTGTGCATTTCAGGCTGCTGGCTGGCTGGCTTCTGAAGTTCCCTGTGGATTCACAGCATCCCCCTGAGGTCCTGGGCAGCACTAGGGGACGCAGCCCCACCAGACCTCGCTCACCGAGGAAGGGTGCGTGCCTTTGCGGTGCGGCACTGCAGCTTTGATGAGCAAAATGGAAAGACAGACCCATTGTGGTTCAGGTTTTTAAACATCTGCAAGGGGTTCTTTTGCGAGTGTTACAGCAAAGGAAATGTTTGGAGAGGCTTGCTTTCTGCTACACGAAAAGAAAGATCTGGAATCCCAGGAGGGAAAAGCAGTCTTTGCTCTGAGATGAGATGCTAGCAGACTGTCGTGGTTTAACCTCAGTCGGCAACTGAGTACCACACAGCCACTTGCTCACTCCCCTCCACCCCACAGTGGGATGGGGAGAGAATTGGAAGAGCAGAAGTGAGAAAAACTCGTGGGTTGAGATAAAAACAGTTTAATAAATGAAATAAAATAATGTAATAATAATAATGTAATAATAATAATACACAAAGCAAGTGATGCACAGTGCAATTGCTCACCACCCACCGACCGATGCCAATTGCCCCCCCCCCACCGACCGATCCCCAGCCAGTCCCTGAGCAGTGGCCCCCCCCCGGCCAGCTTCCCCCAGTTTATGTACTGAGCATGACATCACATGGTATGGAATGTCCCTTTGGCCAGTTTGGCTGTGCCCCCTCCCAGCTTCTTGTGCACCTCCAGCCTTCTCAGTCGGTAGAGCATGGGAAGCTGAAAAGTCCTTGACTAGTGTAAGCATTATCTAGCAACAACTAAAACATAGGTGCGTTATCAACTTTGTTCTCATCCTAAATCCAAAACACAGCACTGTACCAGCTACTAGGAAGGAAATTAACTCTATCCCTGCCGAAACCAGGACACAGGGCAATTGCTATTTTTTTCCTTTCATTTCTGAGAGCCAATGGACTACCCTGAAAGCATTAGTCTGTGACAGTTCCTACAGCCCTGCAGAGACATTTGGATTCTTGACTGGTTTAACATTGTTGGTCATTGGCAATGGTACATTGCTGACCGTACTCAGAAGGCAATCTCCAAAACGGCTGACAGTTATAGGTTTCCTATAGATGTGGAGTCAATCATTACTACTGCAGGTTAAGAAAAGGTTTTTAAAATAGCCCTGCTTGTGGTCCTGTGCCAGTCCAGTAGACAGGACAGATGATGCTTGATAATGGAAAAAAGCAAAACCAACCCAATCAAAACAAGCCCTAGCAAAACCACATACATTCAAGCTGAGTTTTCAGTTCAGGGTGAAATGTGTTTGTCTGTAATTTGATTTTTATGAGTTAACATCTGCTAAAGAAAGGCTTCACCATCTTGAAGGCTTCCCTGCAGTCCCAGAAAGCCAAGGGCAGATACCCCACAGACTTTGTAAGGTATTGGCTGGTGCAGCAGTATCTCACTTTGCCTGGCCTGATAGCAGGAGGTCCTGCGTAGTGGAAGAAGGTCCCAGAGACACTGTTGCATAGCTTGTTGACCATAGTTAGTCAGGCTAACACTATTTCTTCTTCTGTTCAGTACAGGAGATACCTTTATGGGTGCTGTAACTTCCTTAATTGCTGGAGGGAACACCGTGGTCCAGTGTCTCAAGATAGCTTTGGGCAATGTCATGGTTTAAAAGGCAAGAAGCAGGAGTTAGGCTCCTGATGCAACATGCGGCACAGGCAGTGCCCTGATGCAGTGGGAGTTATTTCCTCGGCTCCAGAACCACCTGCCTCTACTTTAGGTTGTTATGGAACTGTTCCCTCACATTGCTAAGGCCTCCTGCAAGGAGTCTTTTGAAGGTGAGACTCCAGTTTCCTATTTGTGACATTTCCCCCACTATTTTACATCCCAGGTGTTTGCAGATGCATTTTTTTTAACAGGGGTATAACAGCAGAGAGCTGCAATGTCCAAGAGCTCCCAGGTCACATTGGCTGCTGAGCCAAACTGGCTTCGTCAGCAGCCCCGTGAGCATGGTCAGTGTGACTGCTCAGCACCCAGTATTTTTTAATTTCTTCATTAAGCAACTGAAGACAAGATGGGACTACTGTTGTATTCATATTGCAGCTTTGCTAACATGGGCTTTGCTATTTTTTATTAAGTGGTAGTTTGGCTCCTCCTGCCTTAACTTGGGAAGGGGCAGAAGTGAAGGCTGCCTCCCACCTTTGCCTGTTACCGCTTGTCTCCCTCCCTGACCACTGCACAAGGATTCATGGTTGTAGCCATTTTGTTGTCCTCTGGAGAAGGCCACAAAGCTTGTCTAATGCGTCTCTCTTTTTACCTTCCCGAGCCATTTATTTAAATATCCTTCATACATTGTGTGTTTAGTGCAGTTTTCTTCTAAAACCTATCCTAGACAATCCCCTTCAGCAATTTACTCCCATACAACACATGATGGGGGGTTTGGTGGTAGATGGCAGCATGGCTAAGGTAAAGCATTGGGTAGCACAGACTTCTCTTGAGCAGTGTCTACGGCTAGGGACAGACAGCAGTCTGTGGCAGAGACATTGCACTCGGAGAGCAAACATCAGGAGAGACCTTTGCAACAGCCGCGTCTGCAACCTCGCATCGCTGGCACTTCCACAACACGATGAGCCTGGCTCACGTGCTCCCCAGCTGTCTCGGTACAAAACATCCTGTTCTTGAAGCTCGCCTGCTGCCGCTCAGCTGGGTGGCCGTGCCGTGCCCCCGCTGTGCCCAGGCGTGCTGTCGTGCTGCATGGACTTGAGCTGTGGTTTCCCCTGGGAGAGGCTGGTGCAGGCAAACGTTGCCCTGCTGCCAGGCGGCACGTGCCCTGCTGCCAGGCTGCTGTGGGGAAACTGCCGCTTCAAATTTCCTCCCTTCTTTCTGCATCTGGGGGGAAAATGCTTGTCTGGAAGATTTTAACCTCAGTGCTGACAGATTTTCATCCCCCCCACGGTTAATCCAGAGATCAGGTTGAATGTTGATGTGACTGCAAGTCAGGCAGGATTTTGGCTTGGAAATGAAACTTTTTGTTGTGGTTCTTGTTTCTGCGTGCAGCTGTGTGTGGAGCAGCCCAGACCTGCACAGAGGCCCTTTTTAGATGCCAGTTTGATTAATCCTCACCCACTGCCTGCTCCCCTGTGCCTTCACCAAAGGGCGGCTTTTCTGATGCCAAGAACTTGTGCAGCAATATATCTGCGTTCACCACCCAAGGACTGTGAGGGCCTGTGCCAAATTTTTAATTGTATTTTTCTGGCAGATAGCCATAGCTTGGTCTTAAGAAAAAGAAGTCAAATATTTCTAGCTCTCAACTCTTTGTCAGTCTGTTGTGGAGCAAAGCTGGGAAGTGCGGCTGAAGCTTACTTTGCTTAACTGGGGGGTGATGCCATTGAGCCATGGGGAGGAAGAAAGTAGCCAGGCTGCTGGGGTAGAGGGAGGGATGGGAGAAGCCAACAAACCAGCCCTAGTTTGCAGGAGGAGTTGAAGAGACCCTGGGGGTGGAATAGCTGCCTTGGACCCACTGCTCCTGCCATATGTGGCTGAGCTGGGAGGATGGTCCTTTTGCAGGTGGGAAGCATTCAGGCCGAGCCCTGTTACTTCCAGCTTGTGCTGAATGGTGGAGGCTCTCCTGTCAGACAAAACCACAACTTTTTGACCATTTGTGAACGTCTGGCCGGACAGTCGAGCGTGAGACGAGTTTCACTGCATTACCCTTTTTGGAGAAATGGAGGCCCTGAGTTGTGCTGGGGAGTGCCAGCAGCTGCCATAAAGCATCACAAGGCCTGGCAAAACTCATTGCGTGGCATAAGCGTGATGGAGACAGGATTATCCGCACACACATTGTCCCAAAGGCAAATCATGTACCGTCTTCTCTGGGTGATTTATTAGCTATTTTACAAGTCCAGTTTAGATGGAGCCTCTACGGTCTTGTCTCCACTTGAGGGGAGGAGGGTTTATCTATCACCCTGAATTCCCTGCAGCATGTGGAACCTGTTTAGGAGCCATCTGCCTTGGATGCCTGGCCTGTGGCACCTCCAACACAAACATAAACCCTCATTAATTTCTTGCTTACACTAATATGTTGCACCAACACAGTATTTCAGGCAGGTTGATTGGCTGGTTCAGTAACTCTTCAACAGCCTCCATAAACGAGCACTTTTTCTCAGAATTTTATTTAGGAACAGCTTGGGGCATGTACGAGCTAGTGCCTTCCTTGACAAAAGGCAATTGCTTCTCCCACAGGAGCATGTTTGCTCCTGCAGGAGAGCAGAGTTGGAGGTGAAGTGCTTTGCACTCGCCTACACTCACACGAGTGTACCAGTTAGGGCTGTCCCAGCCAGCCCTAGTATTTCAGCAACCCTGTGGAGTGAAAAGCGCCCACTGGCTGGCCTTTTTACATCTCATCTGTCTCCTCCTTTCTCACCTCTGCGAGCCACCCAGGAGGGATGCAGAGCTGGGTGGCCAGAGTGGCCACTGGGGCCTTTGCTTTGTGGCCAGGCGAGGTACCACGCCAGGGCTGGTCGTTGTGAGGGCCCCTGTGTCCACCCAGGAAAGGGAAGATGTAAGTGGTGAATTTGGGTACCGAACAGCTGAATCCTCCCTATTACACACACATCTGCCCCCCTGCCTAAAAATTCCCTCTTTTATATCAGTTTCAGTGTGTACACATTCAGAAGGCTTGATGTTGCACCATCTGAGCAAAGGTGGGAACATGCAAGCAAGCCCAGGAGGATGGTGGCTTTGCAGTCAGCTCATGCGCGTTCATGGCCAGGAATTGCCCAGTACTGCTGTGTTCCTCCTTGGTTCAGCAAAAGCTGCTGGATCATTGAATTCAGGCAAAAATCAGCTGCCTCTGGCTAGGATCTGTGCACACATGGGCTTCTCCTTATGGTCTACTCATTTTGGTTAAGCACAATGATAGGTTTTCTGTAGGCTCAGTGTGATGGGGAATTGTGTTTGTTCCCCATTGCTCCATAGATGAGAGCCTGTGGCACATATATATATACTCAGACTGCACAGAGGATCGTCAGTGCCTTGTAAAGAGCCACATATTCTGGGGAATGAGAATTCATGGGCTTGCAGTGGCACCATAATACATGGCAACAAAGCCACATAAATATTTATTGGTGCCCAACTGGCGGTAAGAGCTATTGTCACAGTAGGGCAGAACCAAGGCAGGATCCACGATGCAGGATGCCAGAAGCCAGGAGAAACAGCTCAGCCATGGATACGCAAAATGGTACTCGGCCAGCCAAGGCCGCCAGGAGGGATGGATGGAGGACAATAGCCCAGCTTTTTTTGGCCAGTGTGCACAGTTGTGCTCAAGTGTTGCTCAGTGGAATAGCTGGGGTATTATTTTTAAAACACTTTTCCTGGAAAGCAGCATTTTACAGCCCAATGGGCGTGAGCCATATCCCCACAGCAGGTTGGTACACAGCTGGTGTCTGGAAGAGGCTGTATACTTATTTTTTGTGCAGGCTGGTTTAGGGGACTTGCAGAGAAGAGGAGCATTATTTGATACTCCACATTGTTTCCTGGGACCAGTGTGAAGCTTAGGAACAGTGAACCTTGTCCAACTTAGCATTTCAAAGCAACAGGCTTCTGATGTTCTATACCTCAGGAGCAAGATGTCTCCCTCCACATGGCAGCTGGATTTTCTTCATCCCACTTGTGATGTAGATACAGACAACTGGCTCCAAAATGTTAAAGAAAATCACGGCACTGTCTTACAAATGTAGCTGTTCCTCTGTGGATGCAGCTTATTCTGGGGTAGAGGAGCTAGCTGTAAATTTTTTGTCTTGGTTATGTGCCTGCAGCAGTCAGAACAGGCCGTCTGTGCTGCTGAGGAGCAGCATAGATGTTCCCCAGCTCATACCCCTTAGTGAATACTGGTTTGTACAGATGTGAATCATGAGCATCTCCTAGTGCTGCATAGCTGGGAGGTGCAAGAAGAGATCATCCAGCAGGGACCCCTGGGCTCTTGGTGAGTCACCAATAACTAATTTGCGGATATAGCTTAGGAGCTGTTGTATGAAGCTTTTGGTCCTCTTTGTGTGCTACATCTTGTATTTTGCACATTGGGAACTTTTTGTCAGTCCTTACTACCCAGAGTTACTTCTTCAGGTCTGCCACTTCTCCTGTAACTGTGTTTCTTCATCGGCTAGCCTAACGTCTCAATACGTCTTACACCAATACCAAATCACAGCATGGTTGGAATACTTGTGTGATAGCATCATCAGTCACTGTTGAACACCAGCAAAAAGGAAATGAGGAATATTTCAAACTGGAGCAGAATGAGAACAGACAAAACAAGAAGGGATACTGTAAACCTATGAATCCCTAGCAGGGAGATGGATATCCAAGCCCTGAGCCTCCAGAGAGCTGCATGTGCCAATACCATGTTCTGTTTGAAGATCACAGAATCACAGAATGGTTGAGGTTGGAAGGGACCTCTGGAGATCATCTGGTCCAAAATCTCTTGGTGAGAGCTGGGACACAACTTCCTCCTAGTCTGCCTAAGTCTTGGAGGGTTTAGTTTGATTTGGTTGGATACAGATAATTTAATAAATGATACTTTCACTGTAATTCCACAAATAGAGACATAGTGGCTTTACAGCAATTTAAACTAATTTTTAAAGACGCTAAGTAACTTAGTCATAGCAATTGAGAAAATGCCCTAAATTATACTCAGTTTAGAAATTCAAAACTTGGAAATACTGCCTTGTCATTGTATTCAAGATGTTTTCTGTACTGCATTTCAGCCCGGAGTAAATTAGCAGTGGAAGAAGAAAAATGCAATAGAATTTGTAACAAAATGGTAAAACCTAGCTTAAAGCCATGACAATCACATACATTAGCAAAAAGGACCTTGTCACCTGCAGCAAGTGCTTCCTTTTCCAACAGCATGACACAGCCCCATCTCACATTCCATCTCTGAGAAACAGGTGCAAAGGAGATGGGTGGTTTGATGCAATTTATCCATGCAGCCAAGAAATAATGTTCCCTTCCCTGAGGTACAGGCAAGTCCAGTCATGGATTATGTGCTTGGCTTTCCTCAAGCCACAGCCTCCACTCGTGTTGGTACATGGTTTCCCAATACCAGCCTTGACTTTGTCTTCCAGGTGGCGAGTTGCTCCATCACCTCTTCCCAAGCCTCAGCCAGATGTCCAAACAGAGGGCAGTCCCCCAGCCTCACCCTCTGGTTGCCTCAGTTTTTCTCGGGAGACTTCTCCCAAGTATTTCCAGTGCCACACCATCCCAGCAGGATGTGCTGCCCAGCCCTTAGCTGCGCAGGTACCTCTGTCTCAGCAAGTGGCGTCCCTCATGGGGCACTCATTTTGGTCGGAGCCAGCACAGGGCCTCCACTGAGCTGCAGCATTCAGTAATGGGCAAGGGCATGTTTGGAAATAACTCATTTGAAGTATACGTGTAGAAAAAGTGTAAAGGAATAAAGCGTTAATGATGAAACGCCTGTAGCCCTTCTAGATATATGAGGTTATTCTTATACGAGGACTCTGTAACACTGTAAATTCCAGGGTTCTGAGTGAGTAACTGGGACTGGAATCTGACCCCTTATGCCTGAGAAATTCCTTAATTGTTATTAGGACGGAAATAATACAAACCATTATTTTAAAATAATGCTGGCTGGGCTTGGGAAATTCACATTCAAATAATAAGAAATGGTAATTTTAAGTTTACCAAGCAAACATAATCTTTCTGCACAAGTGCATATCTTATATTCAGTAAGGCAAGGTTCCTGGGGAAAATGACAAGTGTAATTAAAACCTGTCTCATCATGCATGCACACAGGGGAGGGCAAGCTGTGATTGTGATGATAACTGCTCCTAGCAGGTGTTTTTCTTTTAATATGGAGTATTAAATGAAACTTCCTGTGTTGTTTAACCCAAATACTCTCCTGTATGCTTCTAACAGTGCCTCTCTGATTTGTTGCAAACAAGGCTGAACTTGAACTGTATCTTTCAGCATAAACTTTTGTCTTCAGAGGTACAAAACTATTTACCTTAGCTGAGACTGTTACAGGGACCTGGAGCTGATGCTGCAAATTCTTTCGCACTTTGTAGCTCTGGAGGTTGTTAGTTTTCTGTGCTGAAGATCTTGGGCTCATTACGGTATGGTGGGGATCTTCCACAACTGGTGGGGGAGAGGAGGAAACCCTGCCGGAAGCGCTGTCATCTGTTGCCTGCAACTGTGAGAGGATGAATGTGATCAACTACATTTTTAATAAAGAAGAGTCACAGAAGGAGAGGAGGCAGAGCTGCAGCCGGGCACCGTCTTTGGAGGTGGTTGGGGATAGTCTGAGCTTGATGTGTCACTTCAGAAGGGCAAGGTGCTGGGTCTGACGGAGGGGGAAGCTTGGCTCCACTCTTCCTCCTACGATACTTGATAGTTCCCAGGCACCCCCAGTGCTGTGAGACTACGCGGGCTTTTCTGACTTTTATTTCAAGTTCATTTGTTATTTGCTGCCAGAATTCTCGCAAGGAATGTAGACAAGAAGTGGTAAATGGTGATTAATTTAGACAACCTAAGTAGAGGACTCTTGATGGGCTCCCCATGTAATACAAGAAAGCTAACGGCTTGCTGATGTCCTTTTGTGAGTGAATTGTGTAGCCTGGTTGTTTAATGGAGTGTTTAAAAATTGTGTTGGCAATAGCCTATGAATAATGTATACAGGAATAATGAAATACCTTACTGCTAAGAAACTGCTGATATGCTGGGGAACTTCCCATCAGATGTGAGAACAATTTTGAAAGCACTGTCTTCTTGGGATGCCCTTTATTTATGGTCTTGCTGCTTCAGAGATTGCATTCCCTTTTTAGATACTGCATGTGAAGATGCCCTCCACCGCCTCTGCCTCTGTCTTACAGTTTCACCTGATTCCCTTTGCTTCTGTCTGTAAAAGCTCCTGAATTTTGATGAGTTTAGGCTTTATGAAATGAGCACTGTAAGCACGGAGATATTTGCTGTGCAGCCTTCACCCATTCTAGGTATCTGCACCAAGGCACATTGCATCAAAGGAAGATGGATGCTGGTCTTGTGTCATGGCAATGTCCCATGATGCAGGAAGCAGAAATAGGGCCAAGTTAATTTGAAAAAAAGACCAATGTTTCTTTTGCAGGTTTTTGGAGCACGGGCTCCTTGCGTGAGATAAGCAACCCCAGAGTGTCACACATGGATGTTCAGATTTTGATGGACTTTGCAGTGTGAACCCAGCTCTGATGCCTCTAAATTTTCCCCCGTGTCCTCCTCCAGTGCATGAGGCCTCTGAGTGCTTTGGCCATGAGTAGCAGGAAGTCGTTGTGATACTAAGCAACTAAATCTTGCTTGACCAAAGAGATTAGAAGATTGAGAGTGAATCCCCGCTTTGCAGGGGAGCTCTGGAGGTTGTACTGCCTTAGCTGCGGGAGGAAACAGGCCTCCTAAAAGGCCTCAGCACATAGCTCATCAACAGTGCAGGTATGACGCAATCACAGTCTCTTCCTTTGCTCCTTGTTTTGGCCCTCAGCTGCACTCCAGGAGAAAATAAAATCATAGCTTTGTTTCTCACGCAGGGTTTTCCCCACCTGCACTAAAATGCAGAAATATCACAGGAGGGCGGGTGAACACAGTATGTATCTTATCACTGTCCAGAGTGGTCTCAGCTAAGTGTATGGTAAGAGCAGACCCAGCTTGTGGAGTGTGTAGCTATGCGCCCTGCCTCTGCTGTGGTTTTGTTATGAGTAGCCTAGTGCTCATGCTGCATTTTTGTGTCTGGATTTACACAACAGAGCCCTGAGTCAAAACGTTTCCTGCAATATGGGCAGTATATTATTAGTGTAACGCTAGAACAAAGCAACATGTGATTGATGTCAATATTAGTCAGCTGAGGAAGTGACATCCTCACCTGGAAGGTTTATGTGATGGGTTTTGAAGTCATGTGGTGATGCCAAAAGCAAGCTCCAGGCATGAGGCTACAGGACAGGAGAGAGAATGGGTTAGAAGAGAGGTTGTATCCTCGGGGTGATCTGCAACTGGCTAAGCAAGAGGATTCGCCAAAATGGATGGGAAGATTTGCACTTTTTTTGACTTGTTTGCTGCTGGGATATTCCCGGGGAGTGCAGTATTTTCGCAGCTACAGGAAAGAAGGTATATAAAAGGGGTTATTCTAAACACAAGATAGATGGCAGGGACCACCAGAGGAGTTTGACTGATGGCCTAAATGTTTTCAGTAGAACAAATAAAGAGAAAAGGTATCTAAAACTTCCTCCATCTCCACCACCCAAAACCCATCCTGCCAGCCAAGAAGTGTTTTCAGCAGAGAGGGTCACAAAGGTCTAGGCTGAGAATCATGGTCAAGTTCAACCAGCCTTTCTCAGGGTAGAAATGCTGCTAGCTGACAGGGTACATGAAAGAGCAGCTTTCAAAAAGGAGACCGTTCTATTATGCAGTTCATTCCACTGATGCTTCTGATGATCCTATTAATTTCTCTTTTTTTTAATGTTTGTTTCTTTTAGGTGAAGAGTGAAGGCCCCAAACTGGTGCCCTTCTTTAAAGCCACTTGTGTCTATTTTGTCCTCTGGCTGCCAACTTCCAGCCCCTCCTGGTTCAGTGCCCTCATCAAATGTCTGCCCATCTTCTGCCTGTGGGTTTTCCTTCTGGCTCATGGAATTAACTTCTTAGTGTCACACCGGAGTGCCAGCCGCATCCTAGCAGGACTCATATTCTCAGCAGTGGGAGACGCCTTTCTCATCTGGCAGGAGCAGGGCTACTTCATTCATGGTGAGTGCGGTGTCAGTCTTAAAGGGATGCCACAGTGTCCAGCTGTTACCCTCTTTATTTAGTAATGAGTTGCTGGGCCACGTGTTTTGTTTATTCACGTACAGCTTAAGCCCCGGGCAGTGGGAAGCACTCATCCCTTGACTAAAATCCATCACGGTTAGAGGAGTCACACCATGGATGAGTCTTTTTCTTGAGCTTCTCTTGAGGTCAGAGAGATAATTGGGGCAGGTTTGATTCCCTGGCACGTGCTCACAGCATCTCAGGTGGCTGGAGCTGGGAAGGTGGCATGGGCAGAATCCCCGGGGAAGAGAAGGAAATGCTCATGGCACTCGGCAGCTCCCATGAAGCTAAGGTTCTTTTCTGACTTGTGCTGTTGTCAGCTCTGAAAGTCAAAGGCTTATTTTTTCCCCCTCTCATGAGGTCAATTTAGTTTTATTCTGGGATTCCCACAAGCTCTTTCTTCATGAGAGGGAAGTGTGTGAAATGCCAGATATGAAAGGCCAAATGCTCTGAATCTGGTTTTAATCCTGCTTCCCAAGGGCTTATCCCAATCTCATTAAAAGTTCATGCAAAAATTTTTACTGATTTTGGTGGGGTTTAGATTAGGCCCCGAGGATTGGATCTATCTGGCTGAACCTTGGGCATGTTGCTGAGGAACCTCCAGCCTTGGAGCTGGGGTGCCATCACGTTTGTGCTGAGTGTTGGCATTCCCACCGATGGGCCTCCTCCTAACAGGGGTACCCGGCTCAGTGCAGGTCACCTCAGCCCAACTGCTTGTGCTTCGTTTTTGCCTCCTGGAGTTGCTCCTTGAGCTGTAGCTTGGAAAACATTCAAGGCCCGATTCTCACCATGACTGTTTTTGTACGTGGACTGTTCTGAGCTTCTCCGTTCCCACGTAGCTGGGATATCTCTGAGTTCCCTGTCCAATTTAGCGTTAGAGGAAGGTCAACCAGTCACGGCAATTCAGTATCTGGTTAATGTGTTTTAATCTGCAAATAAGTTGGATTTTCGACCCTAGTCTCACAACTGAGAAGTGTTGCTTTGTGGGTTTAGACACATTTTTCTTCTTAAGGAGAAGAAAAGCTCTCTTGGAGCATTTTGAAAATCTCAGCCTTCATCCTGGCTGTCTCCTGCCTGCCTCAGTCCGTTCTAATCCCAGCTACCATCTTCCGTAGTGAAGCGTTAACATTTGCAATTCAGCTGTTAGCAGATAAAGTGCACTACACCACTTCATCCTTCACCTCTCCTGCAAAACGTATTTTCTCCTATTTAAAACTCAGCAGGCTGCTGTTGTTGACAACTGACAATATTCAACCTTTTGACATCATCGTTTGTGGGAATTTGAAATTTCAGGAGAATAAGAGGAAATACTAGGTAAAAATGTACTTTCTGTTTAATTCCTATGGCTTTCAGGCTGAAAAAAAAGGGTTGGGAACTGGGCTGATTTGAATAGCTTTTGAGACAATGAGTTTATAAAAGGACATTTGTTCATTACTTTATAGGGAAGTGAAAGCCTGGGAACCTACTCCTGGCGCACTTGACTTTTTTTCATTTTTGCTGTTTCAGTCCACTAATAACACGTTATTTTCTGACTAGCGTCTTACTGCATGTAGAATATACTTTACAGTGTTAACATCCACCTCCCTTGATAGCAGGCACTTAGAAACAATTTATGCATTTGGTGAAGAAGACGGGGACTAACAAAAAGGTCTTATTGCCAGCCTGAGGGGAAACTCCAGGGGCAGGGAGGGGGAAGGAGGCGGACAGAGAGGAGAAGGGCTGATCTGCCTGATGTGGTTGGGAGGGCTGAGCCAAAGGCTGAGAAATGCAAGAGAAATGCACCCCACTCCCTGTGCAGCCGTCACAGGTTTCCCCAGTTCTTGGCTTGATTTGTGGGTGTTGAGTGAGCAAAACTGGGAGCTGACTCTTTTTTGTGACCAGCCTACCACATATCACAAAACTCCTCCTGCCTTTCTGGGCCCCTGCTTGGCTGCCACATCCTGTCTTCCTCTCCTCCTCCTCCTTGTTGCCAGCTGCCTGCATGAAGGACAGCACATTCTTCAGTTCCCCATCCCAGAACTCTCCATATAATGCCACTGAAGGAAAAAACACTCCTCGCTGCTAGGGCGAAGTAACCTTGTCCTTACCGACCCCAGAGCTCTAACCTTTCCTGCACTGTAACACTGTAAACAGCTCTTGTCCTAAATCCCTCCTCAGTTTCCTCAGTGCTGTGCCCATGATGTGTAATAGCTCTGTGAAACATCAACTTCTCGTTGCCCTCCTTTGCACTTCTCTTCCTTCCCCTTCATGCTGTCCATTTTCTCCAGCCTCACCTTGCAGACCAGATCCCCACCAGCCCCCTCCCTCCTGCGGGTTCCTTTCTCATCCCATCATGGCCGAGCTTGCAGTGGATGTCCGATCTGGTCCTCCTCAAAGGCAGGGAGACACTTCCCCTTCTTTGAGCTGCCTCAACACAAGAGTATTAGGATGACGAAATGTCTGCCAGCAGCAGGTTTTGGCGACTGCCCTTTACACCACAGCATGCTTTAAATGTAAACAAGTGTCCTGCTGGAGGACACAGCTTCCCAGATACTTTTCTCCATTTCATGCTTTAGAGCTGCACGAAAACTTCCAGTTACTCTAATAACCCTGCCAGGATAAAGTGGGACAGCCTGCAGCTGCACCATGTGTGGGTCTGGGAACCAGAGGACCAGAGGAGCTGGACTCAGTTTGGGGTCCATTATCTGCAATTGGCATGACAACTAGTAGTCAGCAGCTGTACCAACACATTGTGACATTTTTTGTCAAATGGATTAGTGGCAAGTGAATAACATATGGGCAGTACCTTGTGACATCCACATCTGGCATTTCTCAGGGTTGTTGTACTTCAAAGGGAAGCCAGCATTTTATTTTCACTGATTGATTCCAGCTAAGGTTCTTCTGAATCTTGCGAATAGCCATAAAATTGTTGGCAGATCACATTGGTGCCGTCCCTGAAATATGCCAGCTGCTTCTTTCCAGCTTAGGTTTCTCCTGGCTATGGGCAGAGATGGAGTAGAAGCCAGATTTAGTCCCTGAGTGCCTTTGGATTTCTGGCTAAATACGGTCAGGCTTTGTGTCTGGGTTCGGAGGGATCGGTATCTTTTTTCACATTTTGTTCCTACACTGCTCTGATTCCAGCCTTCCTGTTCCACACATGACCTATGAAAAAAACACTTCGGATAGTTGGAAGGGATGATCTTTGGTCTGCCTTGCCCCCACCCTTCGTCCAAAGCATGGGAGGAGGAACCACCTGAAAAACAAGCTTTGTTCCTTCTGCAGCAGCTTAGTTCACCTGGCCTCTCAGCAAAAAAGCTTGCATTGCAACAGAGTTGTACTTGGCTGCAGCTGTAGATGTGCTGGGGCTTTTTCTTAGGGCGGGGGCATGGTGCTAAGGCTCGTCTCCAATGCACAGACTTTTATATTAAAATGGTCCCAAGTGGTCAGTATGGTTCCCACTGAAAGTGTTAAGGGTTGTAACACTGCAAGGACATCTAAGCCTGTGCTTGTTGCGGTACATTTAAAACCCAATATAGCCACATGTTTTCTTCTGCTACCAACTGCCAGTCACTGATGAAAGGTCACACTTGCTATGTCAATGCCTCTTTCCAGGTCTGCTGATGTTCGCCATTACACATATCCTGTACTCTTCAGCCTTTGGCATGAAGCCTTTGGACCTCAAAGCCGGCTTATTGATGGGCCTTGTTTGCAGTTCCTGTTATGCCTTCCTGTACTCCTACCTCTCAGGCCCATTCACCTACCTGGTAGCTGTCTACATCGCCTTGATTGGCTTCATGGGTTGGCGAGCGGTCGCCGGCATGCAGCTGTGCAACGACCTCTGGACATGGACCAAGCTCTCGGCCTGCATCGGCGCGATGCTGTTCATGGTGTCGGATCTGACCATTGCACTTAACAAGTTCTGCTTTCCTGTGCCCTACTCGCGCTTCATCATCATGGCTACTTACTATGCAGCCCAAATGCTTATTGCACTGTCAGCTGTGGAGAGCAGAGATGAAGAGGACTTCAGAAAGAGGAGCTAGGTGGAGTGCCGATAGTCTGTGAACAACGTGGGTTATATCTCAGGTGCTGTAGCTGCATTCACCCCTGAGAGAGATCTCCATTTCTCTAGGCACATTGGTGATGTTGATTTTGCTTCTTTGAAGCATTACCTTTGGGGCTTTTTTTTCAATGGCTTTCTCTGAATACAGCTTACTTCAGTGTGGAGTCCACATCAGAAAGCTTAGACGGTTCCTGCAGTAGCTACTCATTCAACTTTTCCTCCTTGGAAGTGCTGTACTACTGCATTTTACACGTTAGTCTTGAAACTGATGCTGAATGTCTGGGAAGAGGAGGGCTGATGGAAGGTTTGGCCATGCACTGTGCTAGAAGACTTGCTTTCAATAGTAGGCAGACAGGCACAGATCTCTGCTAAAGTTATAGGTAAAAATGAATTTAACTCGTTTGTCTCTTTTTGTGCATTACAAACTCAGTACACAAACTGGAGCTATTGCCTCTGCTGAAAGGAAGCCTGGAGGTAGAGTAAAATCAGCATATCCAGATGAGGGCTGAGCTTTGGAGTCAACGACAGCATGTGGGGCAGCCCCCAGCAGAACCAGAAGAGCACAGAGGAAGAGGTGCGCTGACATGCAGTGCTGTGTGCTTTGATCGTGGCTGATCACTGCTCCAGGGCAGGTCTGTAGGTGCCTGTCAGTGTTGCTGCGTGTGGCAGAACTAGGAGTTTGGTGGGACATCTAGGTAGCCAGGCCAGTGTGTTCTCCCCGGCCATGCGTACACAGTTACACAGTGTCTGCAGCCACCAGTGACAGCTGAGATGTAATGGGCACATGAGGAACTTTGATTTTTACAGCAGGACTTTGAGCATGTGTCTTACTAATGTATGTCCTAATTGTCCTTAGTACGGCAGACAGGAATCTAACCTTTATGCCTTTCTTCCCCGGTATCCTAACAAATAATATTCCATATACTCATTAAGCTTTACAGTACTGCTGCTTGCAGTATCTCTCAAATCTTTGTGTGAGCATTTCCCATGGTCAAGGCCCTGATTTTGAATGTAGATTGTTGTTGTGTTTTGCCAGCTGGTGGTAAATGATCAGCTTTGCACCACTTGTTTTTGGAAACCCCCTTTTCAGCAGAGCTTCCTGAAAAGCACCGTCCTGTGTGTTCGAAGTGCCTGCTGCTTCCTTCTCAAACTCACATGGATGCAGTGAGAATGTGAGAGCCATCAGGGCTGGGAAAGCCTGTTTAATTCTGATCCAAATTCTTTGGTTGGTTTGTCTGCCAGTCTGCTGAAGCAAGGTTACTTCTGACTTCAGACTCTTCAAAAGATATAGGAAGAGGTTGCCCTGATTTTTAATCCAAGTTAATTTGTGATCATAGGTATATTTTTTCCCTCTTATTTATGATGTCTAACAGCAAGCTCTGTTTCTGTTTGAAACTATCTTGAATGTGCTTTTTCCTTCTGTCCATCCTAGGGCTGCTCCCATGGACTGAGATGCTCCCCCAATGGCTTGTTTTAAGACACGCGTGCACTCAGTTGTGCAAAGGAAGCTTGCTAAGGGTTTCTGCACCTCTTCAAACCTGCAGCCAAACAGGGACAACCAAAACAGACTGCACGACTCAAATCCATGCATGCCCCAACAGCCCCTTGCACACGCTCACATGGGCAGAGCGAACAGGAGGGGCAGCCCTCCAGACTACCCCGTGGGCTGAAAATCACCACGGTCTCCATACCTAGCACGCCCAGACCGTTCCAGGTGAAAGCCTGGCACTGAGTCCCTGGCACGGTCGGCAGAGAAGGAATTCCTCTTTGTGAGGAGTGCGGCAGGGTCAAGGGGCAGCTGAGGCAACCCTACCAGCTTTTCCCTTGGTGTTGAGAGGTGCTAAGTGGGTCTCCTGCTCCTCCCCAGCCTCATGTGGTGGGACTGGGTGTGGAATAGGCATTGCCTCCCCACAGCTTCTGCATTAGTGCAAATGCAGCCAGTATTACAAAAATCTAGGTTAACCAACCTGACCCCGTGGAGTCATCTGCTGCTTTTCAGAGAGAGATCAGAAAGGTCAGCTGCATTATTGAGAGGGAAAGCATTGTAAATAGCACAGCCCCGTGTAATCTCTTCCCTTTAATGCTGTTGTGTAATATTGTCAGTATTCATTCACTGGCATACCGGGGCCTATCTGGAGTAAACTGCTAAGGGAATTTAGAGCTGTAAAACATCTTCATTCATCAGCATTGTTTATCTTCTGGCCGCAGCTTGAACCCTGCAGTGTAGCTCTCTGCGGATGTCACCTGCTGTTACTCAGCTTGACTGTTTGCAAATCTCTTCCTGCAACAGACTGAACCAGCTAAGAGGAAATCTAAGCATTTGGGGTGAACCCCACTGTCCCCCCAGCATGTCAGCAAACAGCACATTTCAGTCTGATTTACAGCTCCTTGTCATGGGTCAGTCCAGCACACTCAGTCCTTAGCTGGCAGTTCTTCAGAGGAGCCCCCGCACCCTGAGCTTCCCTTTGCTTTGAGGAAAATGTGTGTGTGTGACAAAGTAACCTTTATTTAAAAGGTAGAATTTTGATTTATCTCTTTCTTCCCCTCTAGAAATGAGTAGTCTTCAATTTCCTGAAGATGGCCGAGTTGTTTTTCTGCGTGCTTTTTCATCTTTTAGTGTTATTAGTGACCTTTTAAGTGTTATTAGGAGGCCTGCCCTGTCCTCTCCACTGGCCATCAGAGGTGCAGTTTCTGGTGGCAGAGGTCTCTGGGTGGCTCTAGCTGGGACAGCAGAAACATGTGCAGCCCAAGTGGGCTGTTGTTCCCTCACTGTCCCCTCACCCGGATCGGGCTGGCTGGGACACATCCTGGCCAGCCATGCTGGCTCTGTCCCAGTGCTGCAATGGCTTTAGCCTTCCCAGGAACATGAGGCAGAGCCCTCAGCATACAAAGTCACGGAGAGTCCTGGCTGGCTTGGAGGTTTGCTCAGTGAAGGCTCTCAATCTTCAAAATCTCTCTCCTGCTCTGCATTCCTCCTTTTAATCCGTATTACTTGAATGAGACCATTTACCTGGAGGCTCTTTCCTGCTGGGAAGAGACCAGCTGCTGTGGACACTGATTTGACACAATTCGAGTTTCATAAACCCTGAGAAACACTAAGCAGTTGCTGACAGTCTGTTAAATACCTTTTCTTGGGATTAAAACTGTTCCCTCAGCCCCAGCGACGTCAATCTTCACTTTGAAAGGGAGCAAACAAGAAGTGGGAATGATGTGACTGTCTGTGGCACTGCCTTTGTGGACCTTCCTGTTGTCTCTTTGCACTGTAAAACTGCGAGGTTTGATCCATTCTTCTCCTTTTCAGGGGTATAGTCTTTGAGAAGCACCCAGTCTTTCGCCCAGGGACATTACAGAGTGAACGAAGCACCCCAGTGGTGCAGTGTGCCTGGCCCCAGCAGTGTCAGCTCCTTTGCTTGCTAAGTACAGAGGCTTTCTTTTCACACTGCTGTATTTAAACGCCCCTCTGCAATTCCTGTCTATGGTCACTTGACGTTACACACATGGTCCGATTACTTTTGCTCTCTTTCCTTTCTGTAGTTATCACCCTCTTTGAGATCCTTTGGCTCCTTATTTGGACATATAAAAGATGTAGCACATTTATTTCAGGCTTGTATTTCTTTCTGTAGATAGATCCTCCTCACGCAGAACTCCCAATGAAGTCAAAGAAGCAATGCTAATTGCAACTGTTTTTTAAATGCTAGTAATGCTTCTGGGCTGTGCCAGTCACACTGATGTCAGCAGGGTGAAGCTGGTGTAGAAATGGCAGGTTGAGAAGAAGCAAGCCAGAGCATTTTAACAGCTTTACTCTTACTCTACCAAGAAAATTGTATTCGTGCTTACTACCTGGCTTCTTACTCCTCCATACTGAGGCAACTGTAAGACTGATTGGTTTAAGAATTATTCTAACATGGCTTTTAAGTAGATTGCTGAAGGTTTCATGTTGTAATCAGCGGAGGTAATTGATGTATTTTTACACAAGTATATAGAATTCCCAGGACAAACTTTGCAGAATTTTGTAGCGGCTCTTCAAAGTTTTCCAGTCCCGTAGTTTGACACTAACACCTGTATGTTTTCAAGCTTGCTAGCATGATAATTTTGGGAGCTGTTCTGGAAGAAGCAGATCAAAGCAAACAACAACTGTAAAGCTCAGTGGCAGGTGCCTCTTTCTCTTTGGTTGGTTTCTGGACCAAGAGACAGGGGCTCTTTTAAGCAGAGGCATCATAACTGCATTCTTGGAAGAGGATGGGAAGTTGCTGACTTCTCATGACAGAAGTCTTCGTGGGTACTTCTCCTGCCTTTTATCCATGCTTGCTCCTTTTGCGGCCTTGGGTAAGTCACTTAAATTTTCTGGGGCCAGGTCCTCATCTGGTGTAAAACGGCACAAGTGTATGAGGGCCAGTGCTATGCCAAGTTACTACAGCAGGGGACCAGGCCTTCACCCCATTTCTAAAATGGGGATATTAGCACTTACCTACCTCACAAGGATGCTGTGAGGATTAATGCTCATACAGCGCTTTGAAGATGTAAAGTGCTATATAAGTCCCAAGTATTATCCTACCTTAGTGTTAAAAATGCTTTTAGGGATCTGCAGGACTTCTTTTAAAGCATGGAATGTGTGACTGCCGTTTCAATTTGCATCAGATGGAAAGCAAATGCAAAATATTTATTCATACTGGTTAACGGGATGGGCTCAGCTGCACTTGAACTCTGAGGAGGGTTTGGCTTAAAAGTCTGAACTCTAACTCCAGTTTTGCAAATGGTTTTTAGTTCTTCTAAAAGCCTCAACCAAATTCTTAGATGTGAACCTTGCATCCAAATTTTGCAGTCTGGTCTTATCCCTGACTGTTAGCTAGAGTAAATCTAATCCAGCCAAAACACAGTGCTGTCACAGTCTGCTATGGCTGATGAAAAGACTGGAACAGAAAATGAAGTTCTTCTCTTCAACCTTCATTCTGCAGAAGGTCAGCTAGGTTTCATGGGACAACTTGCAAAGGGATGGTTAATTTCTGTGATTGTAAGTTTTACTGGTTTTAAAATCAGCAGAGAGAGAAGGTCTTGACGGAATCAATAAGGTCGGCACATCCTTCTTGAATTACTTCCTTTTCACCTGAATCAAAGAAACAGCACGTTCTGTAGCGAAGGAAGTGCTTATACCACCAGTCCTAGGGCCCAGAACAAAAGTTGATCTAGAAATACAGCTCTAAACCATCAGTATGTTCTCAACTAGTATAAAAATGTCACTGTTCGCTGATTTCAAATCTGGACCACAGCTAGAAACTAGTTAGTTCTGGTAGCACTAGCTGCTGTACAAACACAAATGAAGGCAAGGAATTACACACCAAGGAACGTGAGCTGTGTACATGTGAAATGGACCATAATTTTGAAGCAGCTGCAGTAAAATCTTATCTTAATATGAACTCAGAAGCAAACACAATGCAAATTTTTATGGTTTCTTTAAAATGGTTGATGGGTTTTAGTTTTCTTAGTTTGGAGGAAATTTTCTTAATGTTATTTTATTTTTGCTCTTATTGTAAGGAATAAAAATATACAACTTTAGCTAGACTACAAGTGAAAAAA